TCAGATCGGGATCCGACTGGGACGGTACACTTGCCTTCCAGCCCTAAGCCTATAAGGCGCTAGGGCTTAACTGTCCCTGAGATCGAGTTTAGATCGGATTCCGACCGAAATCCCCCGAGATCACCCTCGTGGGAGGGAATCAGGTCAGATTCCGATTATTTTCATACCTGGGCCAAAATTAGGTCGGCCCTTTTCCGACTCCCCCCTTGGTGTGTCGATACGGTACAATTTCTAAGAAAAAATACTATTGACCTTTAGACTAAATATATATAAATTGTTAAATATATTTTAAAAAATATTGGCTTAATAAATGATCATATTTTAATAACAAAAATATAATTAAATTGAAATATAAAAATAAATGCATTTATTTTTTAATTTAAAAAATATTAAAGTGGTTTAATTAACAGAATATTTCCTCACCGGTAATTGATTAAAGACATTAAATAAAAATATTTTAATGAAATAACTAATTAAAGAAGAAGAAAAATATTAACTTAACACCACCTGTCATAAAATGAAAAAGACACATAAACTACATTAAAATGACAATACAATACATACATAAATTATCTCACTTGACTCAATTAAATTTATACTCCAGCATCAATCCAGGTTGTTCTATTATGCAGCTAGTTATAACGTATTGTTCATAATAATTATGTTTTGAAACCTGTCTCATCTATTTCAGTGGTGAAGTCAAGGGGATGCTTTTGACAACACTGGTGCCGGTGTTTTTGTGGCAAGACATTATCACACATAGCTGTACAAGAATTATGAACTTCATTTTGTCGCATATTCAACTTAAATTATCAAAATACTTTTTAGGCAATCTACTCCATCATTGAGTAATGGAGAAGAATTTTCTGCTTCCAATGTCATATCATTCCATAATATTTGCATCTGGTATTAAAATTTAGAGAATAATATGATCTTTACTTATTCAGCTTTCTAAATGATATTTCTAGGATTACTTTGCTAGGCCCATTACAAGTTTCTTACTAGCCTTTTGTTAGGCCTAGTAAACTTCGGAATACTAGTTAAAAATATGTAAATACGAACAAATTATGTGTTGCTCCCCTTCCTGCTTTCTTATTAAATACAAAGCATGCACAATTGGTTGAATTTTATTCTACCAAATTTGAGGAGGAAGGGGATAGCCATTTTGGAGTCGGATCTTATTGATTAATGTGTAATTATTAGAATATAAACAAAGTGTTACATTATCAAGAGAAACATGATTTATAAAATCTCTATCAACATAATTTTTTTTGAATAATGATTAAAGTAAATTCACAAAAGCTCAAATCCAAAGTAGATTATACTAATCTAAAGACGTGTTAATTATTGATATATCTATATGTAATGTATGTAAGTTGTGCACATATATCAATGTTTAGTAATTGGGAGGTGGATAATTTTACTATTATGCTCCTCAAGTAAGTTAGATTTGATTCTATCAATCAAATAACATTAATTAGGTGTGTGTTTAGTATCTATTTTCTAACGCAATTTTTTCTTCTATCTCGAAATGTGAATTTACGTGAAAATTAATATTTATCACTTCAAGTTAAACGTGAAAATTCACGTCAGGACTCAAATGTAAACACAACATAACTCAATTTTTATCTCCTTATTTGGAAGAAAATTTGGATAAATCTACGTAAATAAAAGCTAAAGAGATAGTACAATGTTGGATATAACCACCATAATGACTAGTCAAACCAGGGTTTGAAAACCCATTCTTCTTTTGCTAATTATGGTTTGATTTCCTCTGTAACATGATGTTATATCAGGTACACAGTATAAAAGCAAATCTTTTCAAGAGGGGCCATGCATGCAGGATTTCTAGAATCACATCTCATAAAGAAAATGACCCAATTTGGCGAAACACTATCAACCATCCTCTTAAAGGCCACGTACCTCCATTCATATTTGAAAATTTTGAACTAGGCCAAGTTCGGTAAATAGTTATGAATTATGTTACCTTGGTGACTAGGTCTTATTGTCAATAAAAAGTAATCCGCTTTTCTAAAAATGGTCTTATCTTATCTAATTTGTTTAAAAGCCTAGCTATTAGGCCTTTAACCTCTCAATCTCCATTTTCAGTGCAACTCATTCTCAAACGTACAGTACCAACATTATACAATGGTTGATGATCCACAAGATGTAGCTGATAGGCAAGGACGGAGCCAAGGAGGGGCCTACGGGTGCCACGGCCCCCCCAACAATTTTAATTTTTTTTTATATTTTTTTTTATATGCTTTTGATACTTTAATTTTCATTTATTATAAATTATATATTATTTATTCTCGGCCCCCCAGTATTGAAATCCTGGCTCCGTCCCATTAGGGAACGCATTTTCAAGCATTTTGATTCCAATGGTGATGGCAAAATCTCTTCACACGAGCTTGGTGATGCCCTTAAAAAACTTGGATCGGTGACCCCAGATGAAGTGCAACATATGAAGGACGAGATTGATACAGATGGTGATGGCTTCATTTCATATGAAGAGTTCACAAATTTTTCACGAGCCAACCGAGGCCTTGTGAGGGATGTTGCCAAGATTTTTAAGTTCTTACATATTTTCCACCTTAGGTTAATTATATCTTTGTGCTATATATGCTGTCAACAATTTTACAACGTACAATCAATTGTCATTGTGTTCGTCATTTACATATACGATGTAATAGTGATAGATTCATGATGTTAGCTCCTCTTCGGGGTCTTGTTTTTGTGGGTGTATCCTAATGCATTCGTTGTTGTTTCATTGTCGTGTCTTGCGATTAACTTAACCCGATTGGTTTTTCACATGTTGATTATTATAAAGCAATAAGGCCATTGACATTGAGTTAGAGGCAGTTGAGATGCTCTATTCTCAATAGGGACCTGCTTCAATTCAAAACACCACAATTATGTAAATAAAATCTTAATACTTAAGGTTGTAAATAGATACAACACATTTTTTTCTTTTTGACGTTGACGTAACTCATCATAATCTTCTATTCATATATATATATATATATATTATTTTTAGGAGAAATTCGTTTACTCTAAGAGTAAGTCTATTTAAATTATTTGATATTTTATTTCAATAATTTAAATCAAGGTATGAGGAAGAATCAACTTACTTCAAAAATAAGTCTATCTATATTTACTTTATCCAATAACTCATATTTTACATTTAATTTTAATAATCCAATTATTAATTAAAAAAATTTAATGCATAAATAAAATTTGTAAATTTTTTTTAAAAAATGAAAATCATTAAATATTTCGTTCCATTAATTCAAATTGATAGATAATTATAAAAATATTTTACATGTTGATTTGACTTAAAATTTGTAAATTTGATTTATGTATTAACAATTTTTAATTTAATGATTGGATCGTTAAAATTTAATGTGAAACATGAGTAATTGAATAAAGTAAATATAAGTAGACTTGCTCCACTCAATATAACTCATGTTACATAAAATTTTAACAATTCAAACATTAAATTAAAAGTTTTTAATGCATAAATCAAGTTTGCAAAGTTTTAATAATTTTGAAAACTATTTAATATTTTATTTCATTAATTCAAATCAACATATATAATACTTTTATAGTTATTTGTTAATATAAATTAATGAAATGAAGTATCAAATACTTTTCAAATTTTCAAAAAAAAATTACAAAATTGATTTATGTATCAAAAACTTTTAATTCAACAGTTAAATTGTTGAAATTTGACATGAATATGGATTATTGAGTGAAGTAAGTCTATATATGAGAAGGGATCCATTTATTCCAAAAATAAATCTACTAAGACTTACTTTACTTAATAACTCATGTCTTATATCAAATTTTAACGATCTAATAGTTGAATTAAAAGTTCTTACTACATAGATCAATTTTACAAATTTTTTTAAAATTTAAAAATTATTTGATACTTTCCTTCATTAATTCAAATCAATATATAAAATATTTTTTTATTATCTGTTAATTTAAATTAATAAAACAAGGAATCAAATACTTTTCAATTTTTTTTAAAATTTACATAATTGATCTATGCGTTAATAATTTTTAATTTAAGAGTTTGATCGTTAAAATTTGATATAAAATATGAGTTATTGAATGAAATAAGTTTAATTAAACTTACTTCACTAACTCTGTTTTACATCAAATTTTGATAATTCAATTATTAAATTAAAAATTATTAATACATAGATCAAATCTATAAAATTTTAAAAAAAATTGTAAAATATTTAATAATTTATTTCGTAAATTCAAATTAACATATAAAATACTTTTATGATTATATGTCAATTTAAATTAATGAAACAGAGTATCAAATACAGAGTATCAAATAATTTTCAAATTTTTTAAAACTTTACAAATTTAATCTATGCATTAAAAATTCTTAATTTAATATTTCATTTTTTAATTTTTTTTAATTCAAATTGACGAATAATTATAAAAATATTTTATATTTTTATATATTGATTTGAACTAATAAAACGAAGTATCAAATAATCTTCACATTTTTTTTTTAACTTACAGCCTTGATTTATACATTAAAAATTTTAAAATTAATGATTAAATCATTAAAATTTAATATAAAATATGAATAATTAAAAAAAATAAGTTTAAATAAATTTATTTT